TATTTTTCCCCTCACTCGTTTTCCCCCCACTTCTGTGAGTGAGGGGGAATGGAGTGAGAGGAAATCCCCCCTCACTTCATTTCCCCTCACTTCCATCCCCCCTCACTCAATTCCCCCTCACTTCATTTCCCCTCACTTGTATTTCCCCTCACTCAATTTCCCCTCACTTCCATCCCCCCTCACTTGTATTCCCCCTTACTCAATTTCCCCTCACTTCCATCCCTCCTCATCCCTGTCCCCCTCACTTTGTTTCCCCTCACTTCCATTCCCCCTCACTCCCTTCCCCCTCACTACATTTCCCCTCACTTATATTTCCCCTCACTCGTTTTCCCCCCACTTCTGTGAGTGAGGGGGAATTTAGTGAGAGAAAATCCCCCCTCACTTCATTTCCCCTCACTTCCATCCCCCCTCACTCTCTTCCCCCTCACTTCATTTCCCCTCACTTGTATTTCCCCTCACTCAATTTCCCCTCACTTCCATCCCTCCTCACATGAATTCCCCCTCACTCAATTTCCCCTCACTTCCATCCCTCCTCATCCCTATCCCACTCACTTTGTTTCCCCTCACTTCCATTCCCCCTCACTCCCTTCCCCCTCACTACATTTCCCCTCACTTATATTTCCCCTCACTCGTTTTCCCCCCACTTCTGTGAGTGAGGGGGAATGGAGTGAGAGGAAATCCCCCCTTACTTCGTTTCTCCTCACTTCCATCCCCCCTCACTCTCTTACCCCTCACTTCATTTCCCCTCACTTGGATTTTCCCTCACTCAATTTCCCCTCACTTCCATCCCCCCTCACTAGTATTCCCCCTCACTCAATTTCCCCTCACTTCCATCCCTCCTCATCCCTGTCCCCCTCACTTTGTTTCCCCTCACTTCCATTCCCCCTCTCTGCCTTCCCCCTCACTACATTTCCCCTCACTTATATTTCCCCTCACTCGTTTTCCCCCCACTTCTGTGAGTGACTGGGAATGGAGTGAGAGAAAATCCCCCCTCACTTCATTTCCCCTCACTTCCATCCCCCCTCACTCTCTTCCCCCTCACTTTATTTCCCCTCACTTGTATTTCCCCTCACTCAATTTCCCCTCACTTCCATCCCCCCTCACTTGTATTCCCCCTCACTCAATTTCCCCTCACTTCCATCCCTCCTCATCCCTGTCCCCCTCACTTTGTTTCCCCTCACTTCCATTCCCCCTCACTCCCTTCCCCCTCACTACATTTCCCCTCACTTATATTTCCCCTCACTCGTTTTCCCCCCACTTCTGTGAGTGAGGGGGAATGGAGTGAATGGAAATCCCCCCTCACTTCATTTCCCCTCACTTCCATCCCCCCTCACTCTCTTCCCCCTCACTTCATTTCCCCTCACTTGTATTTCCCCTCACTCAATTTCCCCTCACTTCCATCCCCCCTCACTTGTATTCCCCCTCACTCCATTTCCCCTCACTTCCATCCCTCCTCATCCCTGTCCCCCTCACTTTGTTTCCCCTCACTTCCATTTTCCTTCACTCCATTCCCCCTCACTACATTTCCCCTCACTTATATTTCCCCTCACTCGTTTTCCCCCCACTTCTGTGAGTGAGGGGGAATGGAGTGAGAGGAAATCCCCCCTCACTTCATTTCCCCTCACTTCCATCCCCCCTCACTCAATTCCCCCTCACTTCATTTCCCCTCACTTGTATTTCCCCTCACTCAATTTCCCCTCACTTCCATCCCCCCTCACTTGTATTCCCCCTTACTCAATTTCCCCTCACTTCCATCCCTCCTCATCCCTGTCCCCCTCACTTTGTTTCCCCTCACTTCCATTCCCCCTCACTCCCTTCCCCCTCACTACATTTCCCCTCACTTGTATTTCCCCTCACTCAATTTCCCCTCACTTCCATCCCCCCTCACTTGTATTCCCCCTCACTCAATTTCCCCTCACTTCCATCCCTCCTCATCCCTGTCCCCCTCACTTTGTTTCCCCTCACTTCCATTCCCCCTCACTCCATTCCCCTCACTACATTTCCCCTCACTTATATTTCCCCTCACTCGTTTTCCCCCCACTTCCTGTGTGATGGGGAATGGAGTGAATGGAAATCCCCACTCACTTCATTTCCCCTCACTTCCATCCCCCCTCACTCTCTTCCCCCTCACTTCATTTCCCCTCACTTGTATTTCCCCTCACTCAATTTCCCCTCACTTCCATCCCCCCTCACTTGTATTCCCCCTCACTCAATTTCCCCTCACTTCCATCCCTCCTCATCCCTATCCCACTCACTTTGTTTCTCTTCACTTCCATTCCCCCTCACTCCCTTCCCCCTCATCTCATTTCCCCTCACTTATATTTCCCCTCACTCGTTTTCCCCCCACTTCTGTGAGTGAGGGGGAATGGAGTGAGAGGAAATCCCCCCTCACTTCATTTCCCCTCACTTCCATCCCCCCTCACTCAATTCCCCCTCACTTCATTTCCCCTCACTTGTATTTCCCCTCACTCAATTTCCCCTCACTTCCATCCCCCCTCACTTGTATTCCCCCTTACTCAATTTCCCCTCACTTCCATCCCTCCTCATCCTTGTTCCCCTCACTTTGTTTCCCCTCACTTCCATTCCCCCTCACTCCCTTCCCCCTCACTACATTTCCCCTCACTTATATTTCCCCTCACTCGTTTTCCCCCCACTTCTGTGAGTGAGGGGGAATGGAGTGAGAGAAATTCCCCCCTCGCTTCATTTTCCCTCACTTCCATCCCCCCTCACTCTCTTCCCCCTCACTTCATTTCCCCTCACTTGTATTTCCCCTCACTCAATTTCCCCTCACTTCCATCCCCCCTCACTTGTATTCCCCCTCACTCAATTTCCCCTCACTTCCATCCCTCCTCATCCCTGTCCCCCTCACTTTGTTTCCCCTCACTTCCATTCCCCCTCTCTACTACATTCCCCTCACTTATATTTCCTCCCCCCCTCACTCTTTTCCCCTCACTTCCATTTTCCCCTCACTCTGTTTCATTTCCCCTCACTTCATTCCCCTCACTTCCATCCCCCCTCACTTGTATTCCCCCTCACTCAGTTTCCCCTCACTTCCATCCCTCCTCATCCCTGTCCCCCTCACTTTGTTTCCCCTCACTTCCATTCCCCTTCAATCCATTCCCCCTCACTACATTTCCCCTCACTTATATTTCCCCTCACTCGTTCTCTCCCCACTTCTGTGAGTGAGGGGGAATGGAGTGAGAGGAAATCCCCCCTCACTTGTATTCCCCCTCACGCAATTTTCCCTCACTTCCATCCCTGTCCCCCTTACTTTGTTTCCCCTCACTTCCATTCCCCCTCACTCCCTTCCCCCTCACTACATTTCCCCTCACTTATATTTCCCCTCACTCGTTTTCCCCCCACTTCTGTGAGTGAGGGGGAATGGAGTGAGAGGAAATCCCCCCTCACTTCATTTCCCCTCACTTCCATCCCCCCTCACTCTCTTCCCCCTCACTTCATTTCCCTTCACTTGAATTTCCCCTCACTCAATTTCCCCTCACTTCCATCCCCCCTCACTTGAATTCCCCCTCACTCAATTTCCCCTCACTTCCATCCCTCCTCATCCCTATCCCACTCACTTTGTTTCCCCTCACTTCCATTCCCCCTCACTCCCTTCCCCCTCACTACATTTCCCCTCACTTATATTTCCCCTCACTCGTTTTCCCCCCACTTCTGTGAGTGAGGGGGAATGGAGTGAGAGGAAATCCCCCCTCACTTCGTTTCCACTCACTTCCATCCCCCCTCACTCTCTTTCCCCTCACTTCATTTCCCCTCACTCACAGAAGTGGGGGGAAAACGAGTGAGGGGAAATATAAGTGAGGGGAAATATAATGAGGGGGAAGGGAGTGAGGGGGAATGGGAGTGAGTGGATCTCGCGCGCATGGAAGGCAGTGCCCGCGGACCTCATCAAGCGCGCCTTCCTCACCTGTGGCATCAGCAACGCTCTTGACGGCAGCGAGGACTCGCTTGCCATGGCGCACAGGCGAAGCCAGCTGACTCGTGAAGTCGATGTCGATGACGACATGATTGCTGACGGCTTCTTTGGCAACAACTGCCTGGAGCCCGAGTCTGACGACGAGGAGTAGGTAGCTTTTGTGATAGATGGTAGGCTGTAGTCTGACATGAGTAGCTGTTTCAAAGTATGATAAACCTTGAAATTGATAGGGTAAAACAACCCTTGTTAGGAATTGTTAAAAAATGTCATGTTTTATGAAATTAGAATGAAAATCAGATACGGTAGTAGATAAAGCACATGCGCTTATACCTAATAAGTTAGCACATGTAGAGGGGTGCGCTTCTAATCGAGGATCGGCCATAAGCGCCATGCTCCAGATAGAAGCGCCGGCGCCTTTAATCGGACGGCGCTTATATCCGGGGCCAGACGGTAAACAAAAGCTGAAAATTCAGCCAAGGTACCGTACATGCTAAAGAACTTTCGAATCAGCCTAGGGTAAAAAAAAAAGGCCTGAATTTATGCTGACTCCGCGCAAAAAGGCTGATATCTAGGGCTCTGGTATGGACTAGCACGGTTGGGATTCGCTGAAATTAGGGAATGTGCCCCTTAGAGTACATCGCTAGTCTAGTGCGTTTCATGATTTCCTGTACTCTTTTATAAGAAAAATGTATTTGCATGTATTTATTATCTCATTCATTTTATATTAATAACTTAAATATTAATAATTCACTCTGATCTTAGGTTAATTTCTTCCGCTGCAACACACGCCCTAACATTTAGCTGATCAAATCGCCACAATATCACCTAATTTACCGTACGATAACACTTGAATCAACATTGATTGGTTCTGCCAAATTTGCTCATCATCACCATTCTGCGACACACAGTTGACGTACACTGACCAAGACTCGAGAGACAATTCGAGACCGGTGGTTGAAACAAACTTGCAAGTGTGCAATAACCCCACAAGGTACAGCCAATTGAGCCTGAACGACATTCTTCTGAATGAGGAGGTGTTGAGAATATGAATGCAGCATGTGTGGTGTCAGAAGTCGTCGTCTCCCTCCTCGGCAATGTGCTGCGCCAACTCTTGCTCCGCCAGCTGCCTCTCTCTCCTCTTCTCCTCTGCATCCACCTCGCCCTTACGAGTGTTGGGAGGAAATTGCATGGCCTGGAGGACGGCCAAGGGGAGTGTGCATGGCAGTGTGGGGAGTCACAACTCATATCATGCACCTGCACGTGTATGCTCGTTCACTGCTACCTCATCTCTGCCTTCACTGCTCCTCACTGACCTCCATTTTTTTTTATGCGAACCTGGCTGCGGTTTCTTTATTCTGGCGGTTGTTCACTAAACCTGAACTTTGACTCTGGCTTCTGTTACTCAATCTGACTGCTTCTGCTAACTGGCATTTGACTACAATTCACTCACATTGACTGTCATTGACAAATGACTGACAATGACTGCAATTGACTGACCTTGACTGTTGACTGACCTTAACCGCGGTTGACTGACCTTGACTGCTTCATTGTGCAGGTTGAGGCAGTAGGCAATGCGTGTGTGGAAGGCGGCCTGCGGGTCGAGCGTGGTGTACATGTCGCCTCCCTCCTTGCTCACCATGCACCCCTGCCGCCGATCAATCACCGCCTCTATGCCCCCGTCCCGAATCGCCTGCCACTCACTCCACACCACTCACCCACCACCAACATGCCACCCCGCCCCACATACGCAACGGAACAGGATGTGAATGAAGCATGAGGGACAGAGATAGAGAGCCGCATCATTATTTCCCAATCCCATGCTTCACTGATAACACATTGCATCATAGCATGCTTCACTGATAACACATTGCATCATAGCATGCTTCACTGATAACACATTGCATCATAGCATGCTTCACTGATAACACATTGCATCATAGCATGCTTCACTGATAACACATTGCATCATAGCATGCTTCACTGATAACACATTGCATCATAGCATGCTTCACTGATAACACATTGCATCATAGCATGCTTCACTGATAACACATTGCATCATAGCATGCTTCACTGATAACACATTGCATCATAGCATGCTTCACTGATAACACATTGCATCATAGCATGCTTCACTGATAACACATTGCATCATAGCATGCTTCACTGATAACACATTGCATCATAGCATGCTTCACTGATAACACATTGCATCATAGCATGCTTCACTGATAACACATTGCATCATAGCATGCTTCACTGATAACACATTGCATCATAGCATGCTTCACTGATAACACATTGCATCATAGCATGCTTCACTGATAACACATTGCATCATAGCATGCTTCACTGATAACACATTGCATCATAGCATGCTTCACTGATAACACATTGCATCATAGCATGCTTCACTGATAACACATTGCATCATAGCATGCTTCACTGATAACACATTGCATCATAGCATGCTTCACTGATAACACATTGCATCATAGCATGCTTCACTGATAACACATTGCATCATAGCATGCTTCACTGATAACACATTGCATCATAGCATGCTTCACTGATAACACATTGCATCATAGCATGCTTCACTGATAACACATTGCAACAACATGCTTCGCTGATTTCAACTGCATATCGCATACACGCCCCACCTACCTTGGCCACTGCAGCACGCCCCACCTACCTTAGCCACGATGCACTCGACGTCAGCAACGGCGGTGGGCGGGGGGAGGTGGAGCTTGAGGGCGATGTCAGCGAGGGAGATGCGCGAGTACGCCAGGGAGATGCGGCGCAGCGCCGTGCGGATGACGTTGTGGCGCAGGCGCACAATGAGCTTCTGCATGTGCCCCGCTGCAAACACCGCCGCGTGCTGCGTGGCCGCCAAGTGGAACAGCTGCAGGTCGCCCACCCGCACCGCCTGCCACACCGGGGGGTACGCGGAGACAGGGGGCCAGGGGGGGAGGGATGGCAGGTGGAGGAGGCCAGTGACTGATCATGGGGTTGCTGATGGGGGTGCCCGGACATGAGCTGGATACTCAACATGCAGGGCGTTGTTCAAACATGCAACGGAAATGGCTGAACCAGCAACAGAACCAACTGTGCACAGTGGGTGCGTTGGAAGAAGGGCCTCACATTGGTGAGTTGGAAGAAGGGCCTCACATTGGTGAGTTGGAAGAAGGGCCTCACATTGGTGAGTTGGAAGAAGGGCCTCACATTGGTGAGTTGGAAGAAGGGCCTCACATTGGTGAGTTGGAAGAAGGGCCTCACATTGGTGAGTTGGAAGAAGGGCCTCACATTGGTGAGTTGGAAGAAGGGCCTCACATTGGTGAGTTGGAAGAAGGGCCTCACATTGGTGAGTTGGAAGAAGGGCCTCACATTGGTGAGTTGGAAGAAGGGCCTCACATTGGTGAGTTGGAAGAAGGGCCTCACATTGGTGAGTTGGAAGAAGGGCCTCACATTGGTGAGTTGGAAGAAGGGCCTCACATTGGTGAGTTGGAAGAAGGGCAGCAATGAGGAGCGCATGCCGGGCGCCACAAAGAGGTGGCGCTCGGGGATCTCCCCCAGCAGCAGCCGCACCAGCACGTGCCACCGCGTGCACTCCGTGCGGAACCCCAGCGCCGCCGCCGGTGCCTTGCGCGCCGCCTGCTGCAGACACTCCTTGGCCGCGCTGTACTCCAGCTGCACCGCCGCTATGCGCCCCGCGTAGTACAGCTGCCTGCACAACTGCACTCCGCTCGCAGGGGGGTGTGGGGTGGTGAGCGAGGATGGCATGTAGAGACGAGTACGACGAGGAGCAGGGAGGAGAGCAGGGAAGTGAGCATGGGGGAGAGCAAGGGGGGAGCAGGGAGAAGAGGTGAGGCAGTGGAGAGCAGCAACGAGCGAGTTCACAGCAACGAGCGAGTTCACAGCAACGAGCGAGTTCACAGCAACGAGCGAGTTCACAGCAACGAGCGAGTTCACAGCAACGAGCGAGTTCACAGCAACGAGCGAGTTCACAGCAACGAGCGAGTTCACAGCAACGAGCGAGTTCACAGCAACGAGCGAGTTCACAGCAACGAGCGAGTTCACAGCAACGAGCGAGTTCACAGCAACGAGCGAGTTCACAGCAACGAGCGAGTTCACAGCAACGAGCGAGTTCACAGCAACGAGCGAGTTCACAGCAACGAGCGAGTTCACAGCAACGAGCGAGTTCACAGCAACGAGCGAGTTCACAGCAACGAGCGAGTTCACAGCAACGAGCGAGTTCACAGCAACGAGCGAGTTCACAACAAAAGAGACAGCGGGAGTGGCACCAGCTGGTTGGAGTGGGAGTGGCACCTGCTGGTTGGAGTGGGAGTCAGGGCGGAGAGCCTTGGAGCGCAGCTTGTCAGCCTGGTCGTACAGGTTGTACGCCAGGTAGTTGCGCAGCAGCAGGTTCAACAGCATCTCCTGCCACCATGCCATGCCATGCCATGCCATGCCATGCGCGCACCACACACACATGCCCAGCCACCACGCATCGTTTAAAATTAAAACAACCACGTCAGCAACTAACTGCCCACCTGCTTCTCACCGCTCACTTGCTACCTGCCCAATCCCCTCAAGTGTCCACCCTCAGGACCCGTGCACCCTCAGGACCCGTGCACCCTCAGGACCCGTGCAGCCTCAAACCCTTCGTGTCCATGCCCCCTCACCCCTCCTCCCCATGTCCCGTCACCACCCCAACCACCGTCACCCGTGCCCCTTCGAAACCAGACCTGTCACCTCACCACTTTCCTCTGCCCCTGACTCAACCTGTCCCCTGCACCCGTGCCATGGCCCCTGCACCCCCCATGCCCCTTCCCCCCCCATGCCCCCCTCCCATGCAGCATGCACGCGGGCTGACCTGCCCGATCTCGTCGTGGCGCAGCGTGGCCGTCTGAAACGCCGCCAGCAGTGTGCTGCCAGCGGGGGGAGGGGGGAGAGGCGGAGAGGGGTTGGTGTGAGGGAGAGATGCGAGAGAGGGGGTGGCAGAAGGGCAGGGGCTACAAGGGAGGAAGCGAAGGTGTGAAGGGTGGAGGAAAGGGAGGAGAGCGAGAGGGAGAGGCACTGTTGACACTGCAATGACTGGACGATGGGGCAGGGCATGTGTGTGGTGGTGGGAGAGGGGGGAGGGAAGGGAGGGTACCTGCGGATGGAGGCGAGGGCGGTGGTGCGCTCGTGAGCGAGGGAGAAGTAGAAGTAGATGCGCGCCCCCAACACATCCAACGTGCGCCGGTTCAGCTGCTGCAGACGCCGCACCGCCGCCCACGCACACTCACACGCCTGCACCACGGATGGGGGAAGGGGGGGCAGTTGCGGGTGCACGTGGTATGGTGCATGGGGCATGGGACAAGAGCACGAGTGTAGCACATGCATGCATGTGCGGCACACATCCAGCATGGGGGGGGGCGCTGCACTCATGGGCGCATGGACGGGTGAGGGGCACATTTGGTGGCGTGATTGAGGCGGCATAGCAGAGCAGAGCAGAGCAGAGCAGAGCAGAGCAGAGCAGAGCAGAGCAGAGCAGAGCAGAGCAGAGCAGAGCAGAGGGAGGGGCGCGGGGCGCACGAGGGGGAAGGCCTTGCGGTGGATGAGCAGCACGAGCGCGGTGAGGAAGGAGAACATCTCCACCTCCGCCAGCCACGTCGCCCGCACCACCCCCGCCCCCGCCCCCGCTGCCGCCCCCGACGTGGACGCGCCTTCCGCGGATGCAGGTGGTGCAGGCGAGGGGGCGTCCGCCCCCCCTTCCATGTCCTCGTCCGTGTCCACCTGCCACGCCCCACGCCCCACGCCCCACGCCCCACGCCCCACGCCCCATGCCCCGCATGCCATGCCCCATGCCCCATGCAACAAAACACGCAGGGAGGAGAAGCGCAAATCATTCGTTTCGCTGCAACCACCACCTAAGGACATGCTAGATTAACTCACACGAAGCAGTCTCCCACTCACCTGTCCCCATCTCCCCGCCACCCCTGTCCGCCTCACCCCCGGGCGCCTCACCCCAGTCCCCGCAACACTCCCCGCGCCGCTCTCACCTGCGCCAGCAGCGCCAGCAGCGTGGAATGCGCGTCCGCCTCGCTGTGCACGTTAGCGCGCACGAACGCGCGCACGACGCCGCCCGTCAGCCGCCTGCGCAGCGCCAGCATGGCACGCACGGCGCGCGCCATCACGCGCACCTCGCGCGTGACCACTGCGCGCTCCACCAGCGGCCGCTGCGCCTGCAGCTCTGCGCCCACCACGACCGCGGGAGGGGCGCAGGAGAGGGGAGGGGAGCGGCGGAAGCATTCAAGAAGATCGGGTGAGAGTAAGCAGCGAAGCAAAGCAGAAGATGTACGGGCCAGATTTGACGCGGATGGGTGAAATTTAAAACGGGCGAGTGCGATCCGACATGGACGGATGCTGGTCAAGGCGTGCAGCAGCCACACGCACAACTGGCGGAAGAACAAGGTCAATCATCCATTCTCACACAAGCCGCGCACGCCCCTGTCCGCGAATCCCACCCGTCCTGATGCACCCTGTGCGCCGCCCACCTGCCAGAACTTGCTGCGGCGTCTGCGGCGCGTTGGTTTGCCCTTCGCCTTTCGCATCGCGCCCGTCGCCCGCCCCTCCCTCGGGCGTCGCCTTGGGGTCGTCGCCACCGTCCGCCATCTGCACCTCGCGCGCCATGCTTCCCCGCGTGCGCGCCGCAAACAAAGAGCGCAAAGCTCTCGGTGAAAGCGCGTTAGATCGGAAGAATCTAGATTGCGATAAATCACTTGGCAGTGATCGAGAGGCACGGATCTGATGCAGAGCGACACCGCAGGTTGAGATTCTCAATTCTCAGCTCGGCTCCGAGTGTTGAGCTGTTGTGTGTGTTGAAGCGGAAAACAGCAGCACTTGTACCCCATAAGCAGGCATCCTCTTGTGTAGGAGGATACACATCTCAGATGTATACACGTATACACGCTAACCTTCTTCAGATGTACACATCTCAGGGTCAGGACCTTCTGAGGCTTCTCAGCGTCATTGCGTGGGCAGTTTTACACCACAGGACTCCGCCACTCTGTCCTGCCACGCGTCCAGCCCCAAACCACGCCGCATTCCACCCGCACGTCGCGCATGGCAGTCGCCGCGCCTCGCAGCGTCCCTCTCGCTGCAGACACCGCGCTGGCCGGCCGCTACCGCTGCACCTCCTCACCCGTGCCGCGCGTCGCGCTCTCCGCTGGCCCCGCCGGCGCCTCCTCCAGAAGGCTGATCTCGCGCCGCTCGCGCATTTGCCTCGCAGCCGCCCGCGCGATCTCCGCTGCAGCGCCGGCCGACGGAGCCACACGGCTATGTGGGGAGAACGCGCAAGGGCGCGAGCCAGAAAGTAGCGCGCGCGCTTCCGTTGCCCTTCCAGGCGGCCGCGCGGCAGGCGCGCATGACGATGATGGCAGCGAGGGCGCGCAGCCTCTTTCCTCGGCCGCGCCTCTCCTTCCTCCCGCATCGTTCGCTGCCTTCCTCTCCCTCGCTCTCCCCCCTTCCGCCATCGCCCTCACCTTCTCCGCCTTGACGCCTCCCGCCGTGGCCGCATCCCTGCTTCCCCCTTTGCCTGCCCCGCTCGCCGCATCCGCCGTCGCCGCGCTGCCCCTCCCCGCGCTGCCCCTCCCCGCGCTCCCCCTAGCGGCGCTGGACCTCTCCGCGGCGTGGGACGCCGTCGACGACGCGCTCTTCGCCGCGGCGCACCTGTCGGACCGCCTCGTGTCGCTGGAGCTCGCGTCGCTGTCGCCCGCGAGCGTCGCCGTGCTGTTCGCGGCGGGCGTGGCGACGTCGCTGACGCCGTGCACGCTCTCCGTGCTGCCGCTCACCGTCGGCTACATCGCCGGCTTCCAATCCGCCAAGCCGCGCGCCCTCATCGCCGCTGACGCCGCCTGCTTCGCGCTCGGCCTCGCCGCCACGCGCGCCGCCATGGGCGTCGCGGCGGCGCTCGCGGGGCGAGCGTACGGGCAGGCGGCGGGGGGCGGCGCAGGGGACGCGGTGGCGGGGGTGCTGCCGGTGGTGGCGGGGGCGTGGCGGTGGCCATGGGACTCAACCTGCTCGGCCTGCTGCCCCTCCGCCTCCCCTCCGCGTTCGGCGGCTTCGACGCCAAGCAGGCGGCGGCGCGCCTCCCCAGTGCCGTGCAGATGCTCCTCGCGGGCGCCGCCTTTGCCTTCGTGGCGTCGCCGTGTGCCACGCCTGTGCTGGCGTCACTGCTGGCCTACGTGGCGACCACCGGGGTGAGTGCAGCGATGGAGGGGTGGATGGATGTTACTGCTCCTTCTCACCACTTGTACAGCTGCTTTCCCCCTGCTGCATCGCAGACGTGTGCGCAGCACCACCGTGGTGCACGCTTGTTGAGGAGCACCGCCTTTATCCCTCCTTGTCCCTGGACTGGACCTCTCTGTCTCACTCCTGCTACCGTGCCCCTCACTTCACCCCCTCTCCATGCTATCCCCCCCATGCCATGGCAGGACGCGGTGTTGGGGGGAGCGCTGCTGCTGGTGTACACGCTGGGCTTCGTGTCGCCGCTCATGCTGGCAGCCGCCTTCACAGGCGCGCTCAAGCGCCTGCTGGCACTCAGGCAGCACGCGCTGTGGATCAACCCCGCCAGTGGCGCCCTGCTGCTCGCCTCCGGCACCTACGCCCTCCTCGACCACACATTCCCAGATGCCTCCTCACTGCCCTTCACCTCGCTCTAGCTGCCGTGCTCTCTCACCATACCGCATGCGCATGCCGTGTCGGAAGCAGTGCTGTGATGTGTGCCGTGTACATACCCGGTGGCTGGCGTGCAAGAACCGCTCAACTCTTTGATTCAACAACAAGACGTGGTTCTTACAGTATACTCAGGCCCCACTGCTGAGCTTACTCACACCCCAATGAGTTCATGAATGGCGTTCATGCCCTGCTTGTCTGAACGTCTCAACCATTCATGTTCTGAAACCACCATAACACTAGACATTGGCTCTAGCACACGGACACAATTGTGCACATAGTATAGCAGGGTACGGTACAAAGCACCCATATGTATTATCAGCAGCAGCTGAGCACACTAGGCTATGCTGTTGGGCTTACGCAAATCAAAGCACATGATATGAACACCATATAAGGGGTGAGCAGGCCCTCGCAGCCAGGCACGGATATGCGGCACATGTACCACCCACTATTCCCCTCGGACACTTGTGCCTTCTTCCCCTCGCCCCACCAATCCCACACTGTACTGTGGTGGTTGCTGTTGTTGCTGCTGTTGCTGCTGTTGCTGCAGTGCAGCCCGACCAGCAGTTGCCATCCAGGGTGATGCAACAGCCACAGATACTCCACCTCTCACCACCGCTCCCAACTCCCCCCCCACATCTGCTTCCATGCCTCCTCCCCCACTACCCTCCCCCCATATACCCCCACACCCCTGCCCCAGTCCACCTAAGCACTCCCATTGCTCTGCCCCTCTCCCCTTACCACTGTCTCGAATGTCCCCCGCTGCAGTCCCCCATGTTCCCCCTCCCTTACCCCCCCACACCTCCCCCCCCATTCTTCCCCTTGCCTCTCCTGCCATGCCTGTCATGCCCGCCATGCCGGACCCCGTCACGCCCACACTGCCCTCCACCCCCATCTGCATGCTACCATCTGCTGTCCCACCCATCCTCACACCCATGCCCATGCCCATATCCATGCCCATACTCGTTCCCATGTCCGTACCCATGCCCATGCCCATGCCCATGCCCACGCCCATGGCAGCACCTCCTCCCAGCACCGCGTGCATGGCAGAGTGCTGCCCTGCTCCCGTGTGTGCGCCCTGGAAGGGCGGCTGCTGCTGCTGCTGCTGCTGCTGGCGGCACAGCATCTCACTGAAAGCCTGCTGCGCCTCCCTGCTGCTGCCGCCACTGCTGCCGTCCCCCGCTCCACGCACCAATGGCAGTATGCCACCTGGCCGCCCTGATGACGCTGAGAGAGTGGGAGGCAGGGCTGGAAGCCTGGATGGCAGCGATGCCTCAGACACACCTGAAGCAGCACCTGAGAGACACCGCCAGGCGCCATCTGGAATATCTCCTGCCGCCCCCATCTCCCCACCAGCAACCTGCCGCCCTGCTCCTCCACCCTGCATGCCTCCACTTTCACCCATGCCCAGCTTGCCCCCAGCCTCGGCCAGACCTGCCTCCGAGCCTTCCATAAGGACGTCCGGAGCAGCCCTGGCTAGACTTGGTAACCAGCGTGTGCCAGGTGGCAAACCGCGGGGCTGCCACATCAGCGTGGCAAGCTGCTGCTGCTGTTGTTGGTGGTGGTGGTGGTGCTGCTGCTGGGAAGAGAGGGACGTGGAGCCAGCAGGGAGGGGACGAAGGGTGGTGGTGGTATCCCTAGTGGTGGTGGTAGTGGTGGTGGTGGGGGTGGAGGGGGTGGTGGGGATGGGGGAGGCGCAGGAGTGGGAGAGGGAGAGAGCGGGGGCAGAGGAGGAGGTGGTGGCGATGGGCGAGCACAGAGAATGCCTTTGGGGGGAAGGCGAGGGGGCTGAGGGGGAGGGGGGCGAGGAGATGTGCATGGGGGAAGGGCGGGGTGAGAAGGCGCTGTGAGAGTGTGGGGTGGACATGGCAGCACAGGGCGCGGCAGCAGTGGCAGCAGGTGCAGCACACAGCCCTTCCCCATTCCCCCGCCCTCCCCCCACCGCCTCTCGTGCACCTCCCTGCACGCCCCCTGAAGCGGTAGCACCACGAGGCATGGTGGGCAGTCCACTGGCAGCAGGTGTGGCAGTGGCAGGCAGGGCAGTGGCGGGGGGCGAGGGGCGGTGGAAGAGCAGATTGGCAATGGCCCTGTCCAGTGCGTTGGTGCCCGCCTCCCCTGTGCTCTCACTGCCACAACACAGGGGCAGGGGGAGGGACAGAGGGAAAGGGAACGGAATAAGGCGAGGGAAGAAAGTTGCAAGGGGAAGTGAACGGGAGGCTAGAGCAGAGGAGAGTGAGATGAGAGAGTGAGAGGGGGACATGGCATGGGCAACTCACGGAGCGGCATGGGCGTCCACCGCGGAGTGCCGCCCACCACAGCTGTTCCGTGCCACCGACGCCTCCGACGCTGTGCATGAGGCTCGGCGGTTGGCAACAGGTGTAGGCTCAGAAAAGTGTGGTCGAAGTGAGGGGGATGTGAGGGAGAGGGAGTGGGTGTGGGAGGAGAGGGCGGAGTGGGTGGAAGGCGAGTGAGGAGGCAGCACGGGGCTGGGCGGGGAGGGGGGAGCGGCGGTGCGGTGGGAGGCGCTGTGGGCGAGACGCAGTAAGGCATCGCGGATGAGCAGCCTGGTGGCCACGTCCAACTGCATTGGGGGGTGGGGAGGGAGAAGGGCAGGAAGAGAAGGGGAAGGGAGGAGTAGTGGTGAGCGAGCAGAGGGGCAGCAGGCCATGATGAGCGAGCAGAGGGGCAGCAGGCCATGATGAGCGAGCAGAGGGGCAACAGGCCATGATGCCACAACCACAAAAACGCATTGCTTGCTCTCCCACCACTTGTTGCCTGCCAAACGCTCTTGCCACTCACCTTGCTCATGGTGTCGCCCAGCTGCCCCAGCACCACACGCTCCACCGATCCCTCCTCCCCGTCACCCTCCTCTCTCTTGCTGCCGCCCCCCTCCGCTCTGCCTGAAGCCTCCCCGCCCTCCCCACCCCCTCCTCCTTCCGCTCCACCCGCCCTCTCCGCGCTCCCTTCCTTCTCGCCCCTGCGCACTGCACACCCGCCCTGCCCTCCGCCCGCCCCACACCATGCCACCACGCCGCTACCATCTCGCCCTGCCCCTACAGCAGCTGACGTGGAAGCTGACGTGGCGAATCTTTCGAGGTTGCTGGAGCTGAGCACCACGGCCAGAGGCCGAGTCGCTGCCAGGTCAGGCGGGGCCCACGCCTGGGGGCGCGTTCCTGCAGTGGTGGCACTGCCAGCACCACCACGCACATCCGTAGCGCCCACTGCTGCTGCCGCTGCTTCATTTGAGCCTGCTGCTGCTGTTGCTGCCATCGGTACTGAGGTGGTGGGTGGGGGGTGGTGCAGAACGGAGGGTGCAATGGCAGCACTGTGCTGTGCCGCACTGCATGCCGCCTGTGCCCGCACTTGCTGCTGCACCTCCACCTGCTGCTGCAACTGCAGCTGGTGGAGGTGGTGAAGGTGAGTTAGGTGCTGAGCGGCGTGCAGGTGGTGGGGGTGGTGGGCGCCATGCAGGTGGTGCAGGCGAGCCAGCTTCCGCTGTTCTAACGCCAGCTGCACCTGGGCTGCCTTCATCTGAGCTGCCTTCATCTGCTGCCGCCGCCGCAGCTTCTCTATCTTCTCCGCTGGCGTCATCACACACGCCCCGCCTGCCCCTCCTGCTGCCGCTGGGCCTGCACTGCCAGCAGCGGTAGCGGCAGCCACAGCAGTCAGGGCCGATGCCGCTAGAGCTGGCGTTGCAGCAGCTGCCGGTGCAGCAGGGGACGGGGGTTGCAGGGCGCGGGGTGAGAGGCGGGTGGAGGCAAGAGAGGAGGAGGGGCAGGTGGAGAGGGGTGCAGTAGAGGTGGATGCATGGGTGGACGACGCGAGAGGCACGTGGGATGGCAGTGGGACGAGTGAGGCACGCACAGAGGTAGGCCACTTGGGTGGGGGCGGGGGAGGGGGGCGGAGCAACACTGTGGCCTGCCGGGCTGCAAGGTTGGTTGGAAGCAAGTGCGTTGCACCGCCCATCATACTGCCCGCCATGCTGCCTGCCATGCTGCCTGCCATGCCGCCTGCCATGCTGCCTGCCATGCTGCCTGCCATGCTGCCGGCAGTGAGGCTCATGTGATAGCTGTTGCTCCCACCGGCAATGCCAAGCCGTGCTGCCTCCACCTCGTGCCTCCCTTCCTGCTGCTCCTGCTGCACCACCCGCTGCTTCTGCGCCACATTCTGATGCTGCCGCGCCTGCTGCTGCTGCTGCTGCTGCTCACTCACCCCCTGCTGCAACTGCTGCTGATGGTACAGCAGCATCTGCCGCCCCAGCACCCGCTGCTGCTGCTGCTGCTCTTGCTGTTGTTGCTGCTGCCCCTCCCCCAGGCCGCGCGCCAGCAGGGCAGCAGGGGGCGCGTGGGGGCGGAGCAGGGCGAAGGCGGCAGGCGAGGCGGGCAGTGGCGGAGAGAGGAACGCAGCGGGCACGTGGGGGGGGGCGCATGCACGCAGCGGGCAGGGCGGGCGCGGGCGCGGGCGCGGGGAAGCAGGGCAGCGCGGGGAGCGAGGAGGGCGTGGGGACAGAGCGCGGGAAGGTGGCGGCGTGGAGCGAGGAGACGGAGGGGGAGGGGGGGTGCACGGAGGGGGAGGCGATGAGGGAGTGGCGCAGCAGAGGAGGGGGCGCGGAGGCCACAGTGGGCGAGGAGGACGCGAGGGTAGCGCAGTGCGAGTGCGAGTGGGAGAGAGTGTGCGGGGGCGGGTGGGTGGTGGCGGGGCGGGCGGCAGTGGCAGCAGCGGCAGCGGAGTGGGCGGTCTTCCTTGCTGCGGGCGCGCGCTGCTCCCTCTCGTTGCGCCGCCGCGCCAACACTCGCCGCCTCGCCACGTGCTGCATGGCAAGCAGTGGGGGTGGGGGTGGTACGAGTGGGTGAGTCAAGGCAGCACGAGAGTGGTTGGGGAAGGGTGCATGGGCGAGTGAGACGTGGGGGTGCATGGGCGAACGTGAAGGTAGAGTGATGGAGGGAGGAGAGTGCAGTGCAGCACAGCACACGAGTCAGTCGCACATGCACTCCACGTGTTCACCGCCCTTGCACCACTCCCACTCACCGCGTCGCTCGCACCACTCCCACTCACCGCGTCGCTCGCACCACTCCCACTCACCGCGTCGCTCGCACCACTCCCACTCACCGCGTCGCTCGCACCACTCCCACTCACCGCGTCGCTCGCACCACTCCCACTCACCGCGTCGCTCGCACCACTCCCACTCACCGCGTCGCTCGCACCACTCCCACTCACCGCGTCGCTCGCACCACTCCCACTCACCGCGTCGCTCGCACCACTCCCACTCACCGCGTCGCTCGCACCACTCCCACTCACCGCGTCGCTCGCACCACTCCCACTCACCGCGTCGCTCGCACCACTCCCACTCACCGCGTCGCTCGCACCACTCCCACTCACCGCGTCGCTCGCACCACTCCCACTCACCGCGTCGCTCGCACCACTCCCACTCACCGCGTCGCTCGCACCACTCCCACTCACCGCGTCGCTCGCACCACTCCCACTCACCGCGTCGCTCGCACCACTCCCACTCACCGCGTCGCTCGCACCACTCCCACTCACCGCGTCGCTCGCACCACTCCCACTCACCGCGTCGCTCGCACCACTCCCACTCACCGCGTCGCTCGCACCACTCCCACTCACCGCGTCGCTCGCACCACTCCCACTCACCGCGTCGCTCGCACCACTCCCACTCACCGCGTCGCTCGCACCACTCCCACTCACCGCGTCGCTCGCACCACTCCCACTCACCGCGTCGCTCGCACCACTCCCACTCACCGCGTCGCTCGCACCACTCCCACTCACCGCGTCGCTCGCACCACTCCCACTCACCGCGTCGCTCGCACCACTCCCACTCACCGCGTCGCTCGCACCACTCCGCATGCCTCCAACCAACGCTGCTGCCACTGCCTCCGCTGCTCCTCCTGCGCGCTCGTCCTTCACCTTCCCCTCTGCATCGCCCCCATCCTCGCCCCCCTCGCGCCTGTCGCCTGCGCGCCCCTCGTGTGCGCCCGCGCTCTCCCTCGCCCACTCCGCCCCACCCCGCTCCATGCCTCGTTCCTCCCCTCTCGCTCCCGCGCTCACCCCTACTTGTGCATCTCCGCCGACCGCCCCTCCCCCTCCCTTCTCCCCCGTACTGTTGTTTCTGGGCCCGTCCTCTCCCTCCGCCGTCGCCTCTCTTGCGCCCTCCCCGCCCCTCTCCGCAATCCCCTCCGCATCACCGTCCGCCCGCCGCTCCATGCTCCTCCCGCAGCCAGAAGGGAGCGCCGGTGCCCTGAGAGAGGCGAGACAGGAACGGGGGGAGGCGGAACGGGAAGGGAAAGGGATGGGGAAAGACGAAGGAATCAGAACGTTGAAGAATTAGAACGGCGAGGCGGCGAACAGAGGAGTGCGGCAACTGATGAAGACGCAAGAGGGTTTGTTTGGGGGGGAGTGGGGGATCGACGGAAATGAGGGGGGCGGGGAACTGACGGGAGTGCGCGCTGGGCGAGGCCGCTATGCTCCGCCGCCGACTCCCCGCCACTCCAACCCACTCCAGCCCCCTCCACCACGCCGCCCCGCCCGCCGCCATTCACGCCCCCCTCACCTCCCTCGCACGCCCTCTCCCTTCCCCCCGCCTCCTCCTCCCCCTCTTCCCCCATGTCCGCGTCTTCCGCAACGCGCGCGTTCCCCCCTCCGTCGCGCACGCTCTGCTGCATTCCCATCCCCATGCCCATCCCCATCCCCATGCCCATGCCCATCCCCATACCGATGCCCACGCCCCTAGCGCCCCCGCGAGCATCCATGCCCATGTTGGCGCGCATGTGCGCGTCCATCATGCGCATCACCGCGCCCTCGTCCCCGCCGCTCCCCCCTATGCCACCGCCAAACTCCCCATGCCCGTAACCCATCCCATAACCATATCCGTAGCCTGTCCCGCTTCGCCCCGCTCCGCCCTCCCTCTCCGCGCACTGCTGCAGCGTGAAATCGTCCGCCGCTTCTCCTTTACCCGCCTTCCGCGCGCCATCCTCTCCCCTTTGCGCCATATCCCGCCCCCCAGCCTCCGCCATCCACTCCCCGAGCGCGCCGTTGGTTTCCATTTCGCGAACCGACCGCATGTCTCCGCTTGCCCCCAATCCTTCCCCAGCCGGCCGTGCGCCCCTTTCCTCCGCGCTCCCCATCTCCGCGGACCAGTCCTCGTGGGCGTTGGCGGCTTCCGCAGGCACGATGTGATCGTCGGCGCCGAACTCGAGCCACACCATGTCGTCGAACTGCGTGGAGGGGGGGAGGAGGAAAGGGGGGAATGGGGCGGGCGAGCGGGGGGAAGGGACGAGGATGTTGAGAGGGACAGCGCACTGTGGCGAGGACGGCGAGGTGGACGGGAAGCGAAAGATAACGAAAAGCGGCATCGACGGAGGAGGCACGCGAGCGGGGCGAGGGGATAGCACGCAGCGTGCGGCACTCCTTGAGCGTGCTGACACGTCAACTATTCCCTCGTCGCTACGCTCGTGCTTCTCTTGCCGGCCTACCGACCGCTGACGCCAGCGCGCGACTGAAACTACAGTTCCCGCCACAATTCTGTGACGATTATCGCTACAATAAGTGGAACTGAAAACAGCGGCCCGTACAGATGGAAGCAAGCTACCCCCACGCATCTACACCATCAGCTCTTCCTCTTTGCCACGTCATCCCCTCCCATCGTCCCCTCTACCGTCACCGAACCTTCTGCTGCACCCACCGCACACCACCCTCTCCTAAACCCGCGGCTGTGCTACCAGCAAGGGCCTGCACGGTCACGGCGGGCAGCCCACGAGGGGGAGCTGCCACGGCAACCCGCATGGCATTTGCGCGACACGGCGGACGATAGCGCATGGGACGCCAAGGAGAAGGGTGGGGAGAGGGGAGTGAGGGCCAGCAAGCGTGAGAGTGCAACGCACCGTGGACCACGCGTTGATGGCAGGGTCCGCATCGGCGTCCCCCGCGTTCCACGGCGACGATGACATCAGTGAACTGCGACTCCTAATCGTCAGCTCAATCGAGACGGCTTAGCTGGTCGGGAATCTCTACGTGCTCCTTTGCTGCGGCTCTGAAGTCTCTCGCCTCTTCGAGCTATCCCCTTCAAAATTCGCCCGCTCTGCTCCTCTACTCTAACAAATCCTCGTTCGCCGCAATCTGCCTAATGGCGATGACTTCTACGAGGCTAATCTACGCCGGGCCGGTTGCAGGTCCATAGTATGATGCACGACGGGTGCTGGCATGACGTCTGCAGCGCCATAGAGTAACAAGGCTTGGAGGGAGTAAAATTTTAAGCGACTATTCTACCTGCGCGAACTACAGCATAACGATAAGACGACGGCGAAAATTCATGATTATGTCGCACTGCACGGTCGGAATGGTATTCTACCAAGGAACGATAGGCAAGACTGGGTCTCCGCATCGCGTGGAGGTTATTCGAAGGACTCAGGGAACGTTGAAAGGGTGCTGCAATGGTGCGAGTCGAAACCATACATGGGTGGATAGGCTGCCTGCCACTGGCAGGCACCGCAAGGTGAGGGTGGCAGTGAAACTGTGAAATTGTGCGGGAGGGAGGAGTGGGGCGTGTTGTGTTGGGGTGGGGAATTCGGTTTGGTATGGGGGAAAAACTGCCGCGAATCAATCAACACTCGAGATGTTTGAGACCGTTGGATCAGGGTTTGCCATCCACGTCTAGCGGTTCTCGTCGTCCGGATCAAGTTGTTGGCTGAGAAGCAGTCGGACGATCTCCTCGCGTTTTTTGCGACGTAGGCGAGCGGATTCTGATGCGACGCAATATTTTTCCTGCTTGTCCTCGAAAGGGGACTGAAACCCCCATGTGCGCGATGATGTCAGCAGCGAAACTGATTGTATGCATGTGGTCAGAAAAGGCCGCAGCTTGCCAGCGCGACGGACTCTGGATTAGCCGTGACCGCGAACAACGTGGCGCCTCACAACGCTGCATGGCCAATAGAGGATTGCTTCCCCGTTACACGCTACTCTATCCATCCAATTTCAAGCCGGAACTACGGAACACTCGATTCTCCAACCGTAAATGGGATACATACGGATATTTTGAAATTAAGGGAGCCGTGCATATCATCTCCCTTGATGGAGAATTACGGCTAATGGATGGATCAATTTGGAAATATACAAAACTCTCATTAAAAAAAATATTGTAATCCTGTCATCAATCTTGGCACCAAATTTATTCTTTACTCGTATACACAAGTGTGATAAATTGGTGCTGTGCTCATGTTATTGTACGTCTGTGCCCATCTACACCACGGAGGTACGACCAGAAGCGGATCGTACAGTATGCGGAGCAGACACGCTGGCACGCATCCCTTTCCTCCCGGTCACCTGTCTTGCTTGTCCTGCTGCCGTCATTCCTCCCTCACCTCCATTCCCCTCGTACCCCTGAACACTTCCACCTTTCACTGATCCAAAGCGTTTCTCGCGGCCGCCATTTTTCTACCAGCGCTCGAAAAGTGTTCTTTCTCGCACCGTGCGTCTCCTCGCGTCCACCTTGGGCACCCCGTCCCGCGCGCCGTCTCGTCCACCATGCTCGCCGCATCTCCCGCTCCGCCTGCCGCACTAGCGGGCGGCCTTCAGGTACCGTCGGCCCCCCTGACCCCCTCGGCGCCCGCCCGCCGTATTCCACCGCAACGCGGACCGGCGTCCCATCTGCCGCGCCCTCGTCGCCGCATTCCTCCTTTCTTGCGCCGTTTCGCCCATGCGTGTACACCCCCCCTTCCCCCCTCGCGCGCTTCTCGCCTCCGCCTCGCTATGTCGCTCCCGCGCTCCGCTCCATGCGCATCGTCCTCGTCACGCGCTCTTGCTTCCCCCCGCTCTTCCCCAACGCTCCCCGCTCTCCCATTCTCCTCCCCCCCCCTTCCTCAACCCCACACAAACCCTTCGCCTCGCCCCCTCTCGCCTTTCAATGTACTCCCCGCAGCAGGCCGCCTGCCCGCAGCATGCGGGTGCGCGGGGAAGCGCGCGGGCGGGCACAGGCTGGTTGGCGGGCGGAGAGCTGAAAGGCGCGCTCACTCACAGCGCGGCGCACAGCGGACTCTCCGCGCCGTGGTGCCGGAAAGCGCCTCGTGGAGCGGCGAAAGGGGGGGCTGTTGTGTGCTCCGCGGCTGCTAAGCCCGCTTTTGGGCGGCAGATGCTGGTGAGGCGGAGGAGGGGGAGGGCGGGGTCGGGGGCGGGGAAAAGGGGTTGAGGCCGCGGGGGACACGCACGGAAGGGGACAGGAGAGGGAGCAGCATAGGAGCAAGGGGATGCGCATGGTGCGTGTGTGGTGTGGTGTGGTGTGGTGTGGTGTGGTGTGGTGTGGTGTGGTGTGGTGCCGCCCCTCACATGCACGCGCTTGTGCACTCCGCTGCCCACTGCCTCGCTGCGCACCGCCCACATCTCCGTCTACCCGTCCCTATATCTACCGTTGGCTTTCCCCATTCACCCCCCCGGCCTCTGTGTGGCCGCGTGGCGTGTGAGCAGGTGATGGTGCCACCGCACCCGCTGATCAAGCACTGGATCGCCATCCTGCGCAACGCCACCTCGCCGCCCCCCATCTTCCGTCAGTCCCCTCCGCTCCACCCCCGCTCAATGCTGGTCAATGCCAGTCGTTGGTGGTCAATGATAGTCAAGGCCAAAGGCCCAGTCTGTTGGCGTGAGTCATGAATGCGGTTGCCTGTGCTTCAATGGCAACCCCTGCCTTGCCCCCATGCCTCACATGCTGTCATGCTGTCATGCTGCCGTGCTGTCATGCTGTCATGCTGTCATGCTGTCATGCTGCCGTGCTGTCATGCTGTCATGCTGTCATGCTGTCATGCTGTCATGCTGCCGTGCTGCCGTGCTGTCATGCTGTCATGCTGTCATGCTGTCATGCTGCCGTGCCTCCTCCCCACGTGTCGACCTGCAGGTGCCGCACTGGCCGAGCTTGGTCGCAACATTGCTTATGAAGCAACCCGTGATTGGCTGGTGAGTCCACTGTGGTTGGCTGGTGAGTCCACTGTGGTTGGCTGGTGAGTCAACTGTGGTTGGCTGGTGAGTCAACTGTGGTTGGCTGGTGAGTCCACTGTGGTTGGCTGGTGAGTCAACTGTGGTTGGCTGGTGAGTCAACTGTGGTTGGCTGGTGAGTCAACTGTGGTTGGCTGGTGAGTCAACTGTGGTTGGCTGGTGAGTCAACTGTGGTTGGCTGGTGAGTCAACTGTGGTTGGCTGGTGAGTCAACTGTGGTTGGCTGGTGAGTCAACTGTGGTTGGCTGGTGAGTCAACTGTGGTTGGCTGGTGAGTCAACTGTGGTTGGCTGGTGAGTCAACTGTGGTTGGCTGGTGAGTCCACTGTGGTTGGCTGGTGAGTCAACTGTGGTTGGCTGGTGAGTCCACTGTGGTTGGCTGGTGAGTCAACTGTGGTTGGCCGCAACGACTCACTCACCCCCTCCTATGCCAACTCTTCACCTGCTCCCCACCTGCTCCCCACCTGCTCCCCACCTGCTCCCCACCTGCTCCCCACCTGCTCCCCGCCTGCTCCCCAACTCCCCCCCACTGCGCCGGTGGCAGCCCATGATTCAGGGCGAGGTGGCCACGCCCTGCGGCGTAGCTGAGGTGGAGGCTGTCGACCCCACCCAGCCAATTGCAGTGAGCCACGTGGCAGCCCCATGCTGCATGCCTCCCTTGGTGCATGCTTCCCATGTGCATGAGCATGAACGAGCAAGCCACTGTTCTCTGCTGTTCCTTCCTCATGATCACCAACCATGGCGCACTGCCATCGTGTCACAGCTAGTCGGTCATGCGCTCCTCTGCCTTCCATCTCCACTGCCCTCCCTCTCTCCCTCTTCCCTGTTTCCCTCTCTCCTCTTTTTCTCTCTTCCTCTCCTCTCCTCTCCTCTCCTCTCCTCTCCTCTCCTCTCCTCTCCTCTCCTCTCCTCTCCTCTCCTCCCCTCTCCTCATCCCTCCGCGCCCCACCTCGCGTGCGTGCATGCATGCATGGGGGCAGATCATCCCAGTGCTGAGGGCGGGGGCGGTCATGGCAGAGCAGATGGGGCCAGTCATTCCCCACACCATCACCTACCACCTCGGTACTGCCACCTACCACCTCGGTATTGTCACCTACCACCTCGGTACTGCCACCTACCACCTCGGTATTGTCACCTACCACCTCGGTATCGCCTTGATATCATACTGGAGGCAACAGATCCAATTCAGAGTAATCACTGCGCATCACTGTGACGATGCGTTGCGCTGTGCTGCCATGTGGGAGCACTCAAAGCACACACCTCGCTCATGCATCTCACCCCGTACAATGTGGATGTGGGCAGGCTATGTGAGGGATGAGACCACACTCCAGCCAACGCTCTACCTCAACAAGTCAG